TTTACGACGAGTCCCCTTATCGCTTTCCCCTTATCGCGTGCCATGTTGAAGCTTAAAGTTAAAACAAGACGATAATTCGTACGTTTACCTGAGTTTAGAATCAGCTGTTGCTTGAACATTAATGGAATGAAACCCTTTCCTGCAGACGAACAGCGGCTCATTTTCTCCCGATGGTGCTATGATGGCAACTTGTGTACCATCAATCGTTCCCACTATATTTGGAAAGCCTGCTATTTGGTGAAAACCTTCCTTTGTAGAATTGATATCTTCCATGGAATAGGGGAAATTTATTGATAATTTATCGTCAACACAGGTTGTTATTGCAACTTTGATCAAATTTTGACAGAATTCACTACCTTCATCCTTAAATAATATGTTTAACACTTCCTCGACAGTTAGCCGTGACATAACTTCAGTTTTTTTTGGACATGTATCATTACATACGTCCCCCAGATCTTCGAAAAATTAGCGAAACAATTGTAAATAAAGCAACAAGAATGACAGCAGACTGCGCTTCTTTCGTTTAGTGAAATACCACCTATCGAACATGGGAGTTAATTCTATTAAAATGCACAAAATAAATACAATCGGTAATCCCGGAATATTCCGGGTGCCATATATGGAAGGCTCAGGCCGATCCTGGAATAATCCGGATACCGCAGGACAAGGGTTAAAGGAGCTAAATCTCTATTCTTGGGTACCTAGAAATGGACAATGAAATGAAATGAAATGGGGTTTAACATCCTACTGGTCTGCTCCGAACTGGGCTAATGAAGACGAACATACGCCATACAGTGTGCTATTAGGTAAATTTTGCCCGGGCAGCGGCGCTAAGGCTTACTCTTATATCGAAGGGATTTTTTTATGTGCACGCCAATGTGTACATGGGACCTCGTTTTTTTTTGTCCCATCCAAACGACTAGACGGCTGTTCTTGTCAGGCTCTCATCCTGCATTACTGATAAGGGGAAACCACACCGGAAAATCGTGATGAACTTTCTCGGCCAATGCAGGGATCGAACATCCAGACTAGTGAGCCAGCATCTTACCCACATAGCCACCGTGATCCCAGGAATGGACACGAATGGACACAAATGGGTAGCAAGGCATATAAAAATGTACATATTAATGTATATAAACGCATTTACGTTCAATCAGTTTTATACGCCCACATTGAAATGTGGTCGTATATTGTCGTCGCCCCCGTCCGTCCGTCCGGCGTCCACAATTGCTTGTGGATGCTCTAGGGGCCAAAGTTAATATCCGATTGACTTTAAATTTATAGACAGTGTTTAAGGCCATGAGACGAAGAAGCCTATTGATTTTCAGCGATTTCCGATAATTATTGCCAGAGTAATGGTCCTTGATCACTTCAAAAAATCTTGTGGACGCTCTGGAGGCCAAAGTTAATATCCGATTGACTTTAAATTTATACACAGTGTTTAAGGTCATGAGACGAAGAAGCCTATTGATTTTCAGCGATTTCCGATAATTATTGCCAGAGTTATGGCCCTTGATCACTTCAAAAAATCTTGTGGATGCTCTAGAGGAGAAAGTTAATATCCGATTGACTTTAAATTTATACACAGTGTTTAAGACCTTGAGACGAACAAGTATATTGATTTGAATTTTTGTCCCCCGCCTTTCGAAGAAAGCAGGGGACTATTAAAATGGGTTCGTCCGTCCGTCTGTCTGTCCGTCTGTCTGTCCGTCTGTCTGTCCGTCTGTCCGTCCGTCTGTCTGTCCGTCACACTTTTTGGGACACAATAACTCTCTTCCTAATTGAGCTAGAATGTTCAAACTTGGTGTATGTGTTTATTAGGTCAATGCCTTGATGGAGTTCGAAGATGAGCATTTTCCGCTTAGGGTAAGCAGAGATAAGCAATTTGATTGGTTGATGCTTTGGGACACGATAACTCTCTTCCTAATTGGGCTAGAATGTTCAAACTTGGTGTATGTGTTGATTAGGTCAATGCCTTGATGGAGTTCGAAGATGAGCATTTTCCGCTTAGGGTAAGCAGAGATAAGCAATTTGATTGGTTGATGCTTTGGGACACGATAACTTTTAATTGAGCTAGAATGTTCAAACTTGGTGTATGTGTTTATTAGGTCAATGCCTTGATGGAGTTCGAAGATGAGCATTTTCCGCTTAGGCTAAGCAGAGATAAGCAATTTGATTGGTTGATACTTTGGGGCACGATAACTCTCTTCCTAATTGAGCTAGAATGTTCAAACTTGGTGTATGTGTTGATTAGGTCAATGCCTTGATGGAGTTCGAAGATGAGCATTTTCCGCTTAGGGTAAGCAGAGATAAGCAATTTGATTGGTTGATGCTTTGGGACACGATAACTTTAGTTTTAATTAAGTGAGATTGATGAAACTTGGTGTATAGTTTCATTACAGTAATACCTTGACTAAGTTTGATAATGAGCATTTTCTGCTCAGGGTAAGCAGCAATTTGATTGGTTGATACTTTGGGGCACGATAACTCTCTTCCTAATTGAGCTAGAATGTTCAAACTTGGTGTATGTGTTGATTAGGTCAATGCCTTGATGGAGTTCGAAGATGAGCATTTTCCGCTTAGGGTAAGCAGAGATAAGCAATTTGATTGGTTGATGCTTTGGGACACGATAACTTTAGTTCTAATTAAGTGAGATTGATGAAACTTGGTGTATAGTTTCATTACAGTAATACCTTGACTAAGTTTGATAATGAGCATTTTCTGCTCAGGGTAAGCAGAGCGATACGCAATTTGATTGGTCGAGACTTTGGAAAACAATAACTCTCCTACGTTGATTGTTAGACTATAAGTAAAGATATACTGTTTGATTGTTCAATACTTTGTAAAAGATAATTTGTGATAAATTCATATGTGTCCTCTAATTATTTTCCTATTTCGGCGGGGGACATCAGCCTCACTGTTGGCTTGTTATGACTTGGAACAGCTAAATCCATGATACAGTATTATAAGTTTTGTATATAAAACGTTAGCATGGGGCAGAACTTTATAAAAACCAAACAGCTTCTAATGGTTTTCTGTATTAGATTTTAGTGTATTATAAATGTTTCATTACCGAAAAAAGTAAAAATATGCGACAACTCTTGTTGACTGCCCGGACGATTTAGCTGCTGTGGGCGTATGTTTCGTTGCCTGGCAACCTATCTTTGTGTTTTCTGTTAAGTTTTAATCCGTTTTGTTCGACGAAATATGCAAATAGTCGAAATTAAATGACAGTTGTTGATGTTGATTTAAATTGACCAATAAGTTGTGTTTGCGATGTCACACCTACTTTTCTGTTAATATTTTGTCTGTAAATAGTCTAGAGGTTGCAGTTATTAATAGATTTAGTTCCATTTCGACATGATCCACCAAAGGGTTGTACCTATTTGTATGGGTCTATGCCCAATCCCCAGTGAGTAACTTTATACCTAGGGCAGACGAGCATATTTTTTCGTCCAATCACACCAATTTTTAAAATTGCTCGAAAAAATCGCACGTGTGTCCGTTCACCCCAATGACGATTCTGCTCGCAGATCCATTTACCCGGCCGATCACCCGGTACCTAGCATGTTAGATAATTTCGGTTGGCATATCCACTCGTCTTCTCGTGTCCAGCGTCTATTATCGAGCGATTCATTTTCATAAGCCAATAGGAAACATTATTGAGATCACATGATCTCAAAATGGCTTCCTCCACTGCTGAATTGGTGATTCTTTGGTCAGAAAGGCCTAGCCTGTTTTAGCAGCTACCACAGCAAGCTTACGTTTTGTACAGGTTACTTGATTGACGTAATTTACTTGCTATTCAGACGATCACTACATGTGCCGGCTCATAATCGTCCCTAAAAATATCGCTGGTGAATTTTAATCACTGTGATGAGACGAAAAAAATACACACGTCTGCCCGGAGCTAAAATGAATCCATTGGATTACAATTCTGACATAAAACTAACGTTACATTAATGTTAGAAAACTAACGTTAGATTTATGTTAGAAAACTTATGTTAGATTTACGTAAGCAAACTAACGTTAGATTTACGTTAGCAAACTAATGTTAGATTTACGTTAGAAAACTAACCATAAACTAACGGTTAGAAACCTGACGTAAAATTTACGTTAGATTAACGTTCGATTTGTAACCAATAATACATATTTCATTACTATGTCTGAATTCTGACTATTTATCAATTGTTAGAATGTGCATACACTCGTATGGTTATTTATTTAAGAAGTATTTGAACCGAAAAAAAATGGTTAGAAAACCGTCAATAAATTTACGTTAGATTTAAGTAATTTTCTGACGTAAAAGTAACCATAACCATTCTGACGTAAAAGTAACGTAAATTCAACAGTAGAATTTTACCATTATTGGACGCTAACCAAAATCTAACCATAATGATGTAAACTTAACGTAAATCTAACCATCAATGTTATCTGGGTATAGAGGTCACAATTTTTATTCGATTTTGTTGAAGCTTGAAATCTAAATTGATAATCCAAAGATCTCGGTTCCTTTCGATATTCGCGCATATCGGACCGTAACTTCCTGAATTATGGCCCCTGATTGTACCAAAAATCGTCTTTTTAGCTTGTGGACCCTATAGAGGTCATAATTTTTATCCGATTTAAAAAAACGTTCAATTATATCACCGTTACACAGGACAGCTGTGTTCGAATTTCGTGAAAATCAGCCCAAAACTGACAGACAAAATGGCCGCCCCTCGTTATCAAATAAGGTAAACAAATATGGTATATCAAGGTTGTGGACCCTATAGAGGTCACAATTTTTTATCCGATTTTGTTGAAACTTGAAATGTAAGTTTATAGCCCAAAGAACTCGGTTCCTTTCCATATTTGCGCATATCGAATTGTAATTTTCTGAATTATGGCCCTTGATTGTACGAAAAATCACTTTCTTTTTTGCTTGTTCTCTATCCATCTCTCGAAAATGTGGGCGTATCCTGCCTGGCAGCCACTGGTTCAGACTTGTTTTTTCATAGAATGAAGAAAAGAGATGCTGGAAGTGCACCACAGTTAGGAGATCGAGTTCCCTATGTTATTATAGCAGCACCTAAAAAAACTGCAGCATATCTCAAGTCAGAGGTTAGATATATATATACTGAGCGCCATGGAAAACGCATCACTTTTTTTTCCCAAATATTTTTTTACTCGGTGGTTTGTATGTATAATATTAGACATTTAACTATGAGAATGTATATTTTTTGTATATTTATTACTTTTCTCATAGTTTTATAAGTATTTGTGTATTGTGTACTCAATTTAGTACGAAATAAATATATTATTATTATTATTAATACTATGAACTAATGTTTCACACAATGCTCCCAAACGCAAAAAATATCGGCCCGTGTGCACAAAAAAAAATTGCACGAGATGCACATGAAAGTAATATTCACGTGCAGCATTGTGTGTGAGCCCTTTAACCCGTTAACTGCGTAGGACGTTATAACGTCCTGGACAACTGCCACTCACCGTATGTAGGACATAATATAACGTCCAGGAGGTATTTTCCCCAATCTATTCTTCGAACACGATCTCAGCATGTGTAAGACGTTATATTACGCCTGGTCGAGGAAATCTAATTGGTGGGAGACAACTCTATTTACTGTTAGTTTTAATATGGTTTAAGACCACTAAAATTTGTATTCAGGAAAAAATAGGTCCAAAAATGACGTTTTTTGTCAAATTAATTACGCAATAGGTGGTAGTTAACGTCAAATTAATTACACAGTTAAGGGGTTAAAAGCATGTTTTCAACTTAATGTGCAGTACATCAACTGTGAAACGTCAATCTGTCGTAATTTGTTGTTGGACGTGTGAAGGAATCAAGCTAGAGATGCCGAGACTTACTGAAAATCAATGGAATGAAGCCATGGGAATGTCCAGGGCTGGCATGTCTACACGTGCTATTGCCAGACACTTCAATTGTCATCAGTCCATTATTGTAAGGTTGGTGGAACGTGTTCGAGTTACTGAATCAACACGTGACCGTCAACGTCCTGGTCCACAACGTGTTACAACCCAGGCTCAGGACCGCTACATCCGGGTCACTCATCTGCATGACAGATTCCGCCCAGCAACTCAAACAGGTGCAGCAGTCGTCGGAAGACAAGGACCAGTAAGTGCCAACACCTTATGTGCACGATGACCTTATGTTGGAGCTATCCTCAGGGATCATCACCATCAGCGGCGTTTGATATGGGCTCAAGGACTGGCAAAGTGTGCTCTTCAGTGTTGCAGACTGGGGTGGGGGAAGTGTAATGGTGTGGGGAGGCTTCACATTTCATCACCGGACCACCCTACACATTTGCAGGGGCCCCGTTAATGCTGTAGCCTACCGTGATGATGTCTTGCAACCAATTGTTGTTCCGATGTTTCCAGCGCACCCACAACTTCAGCACTTCCAACAGGATAATGCAAGTGCGCATACCGCCCGTTTTAGTATGGACTACCTGGCTGCTAACAACATCAATGTCTTGGACTGGCCAGCCATGTCTCCGGACATGGCACCGATAGAACATGTCTGGGATGAGATTGAACGCTGTCTGTTGACATTTGATAATAAAAATCTGTTTCCGGTGGATGGAGTTACGCATGCGTGACGAGAGCTTCCGTTGCCAGGGACGCGAGCGGTCAGTGGTGTATAGATACGATGAGGAATGTGGACGGTAATTGATGTGTAGTTGATGAAACGTGATGTTCGATAGTTAGTATATTCAATAATAAACATTGGTAGCAGAGCGTGAAGAATGGCGAATTATAAATTCCCGCCACAATTTGGTGAAAAAATGTTGTACGATACGTGGAAAAATTAACTGAAAATTTGGCAGTTAGTAACGGATTTACCAAAAGAAAAACAAGCGTTAGCGGTCACGCTTTCGCTGACGGGGAAGGCCCGGGAAATCGCCATTGAAATTAAATCTGAAGATCTAAACAAAGATAATGGTATGGAAGTTTTGACTGATGCCCTAGATAAAGTATTTCAACAGGAAACAAGGGATTCTATTTACGAAGCCTACACTAATTTTGAATTGTTTAAAAAAACTGATGAAATGACAATGACTAATTTTATAATAGAATTTGAACAAAAGTATCAGAAAATGAAAAGATATGGAATGGAGCTACCTGACACAGTACTTGCTTTTAGGTTGCTTGATAGGGCAAACTTATCAACACATGAGAAACAGATGGCCATAACAAATTCAACTGATTTAACATTTGAGAGTATGAGATCAGCATTGAAGAGAATATTTTGCAGATCTATTGGGGAAGAAACAGCTTCAAGTAATGGGATTCAAGTCAAACAGGAAGTATTTTATGGCAGACAATTCAATAATTACAGACAGCCATACAATGCTAGTGCAAGTAATAATCCGCAATATGGTTCTAGTAATAGTGCTACGTATAATAACAATAACAATTCTCAATATGCTTCTGGCAGTAGTAGTCCTCACGTTTTTAGTCATCAGAATAAGACACTTAATCGTGGTACTAATCCTATTAATAAATATGGGAAGAGGAGTCGATGTGCATTCTGTCAAAGTCTTTTTCACTGGGCTAAAGATTGTCCTGACAAGAAGATGTTTGTGAAAATGACAGAAGATTTGTCAGAAGAGGATAGTGATACAGAATTGTGTAACATTACTCTATTTACTAACTCTACTCAATTGAATAACTTGGATCAAGAAATATTTGTGATAGAAGCTTTTGGTTCAGCAGTTTTAGATACAGCATGTACCAAAACAGTTAGTGGGGAAACTTGGCTTAACAATTTTCTGAGCAATATGTCTCCTTCTCAGTTGAATAAGGTTAAATGTCGCCCTAGTCGTAGAGCTTTTCGATTTGGGGATGGTAAGATTCTGTATTCCTTCAAATGTGTCACTTTACCTGTTAGAATTGGTCAAGTCATTTGTAATATTGAGGTAGAAGTTATAGAGTCAGATATTCCTTTGTTACTAAGTAAGCATTCCTTAAAAAAGGCTGGAACTGTTTTAGATCTTGAGCATGATAAAGCTTTCATGTTTGGTCAATCTTTGTGTTTGGAATTTACATCAAGTGGGCATTACTGTATTAATGTTTTTGACTTTGAAGAAGAAACCCCTGATAGAAGTGTCTCTAATGAAGTTTTGTTATTGGGGTGTAGTTTATCTAGAAGTGAACTAATAAAGTGTTTAATTAAAATTCATAAGCAATTTGGACATGCTTCTTCAGAAAGACTACAACGACTTTTAAGAAGTGCTGGTACACATGATTCCAAGATTTTAAATCTACTGGAAGAGGTTATAAAACAGTGTGATGTTTGTGCTCGATATAAAAATCCTACTCCAAGGCCTGTGGTGGGATTACCTTTAACCAGTCAATACAATGAGACTGTAGCGGTTGACTTACATCAACTTGGCCCAAATGTTTGGTATCTCCATATGATAGATGAATTTACCAGGTTTAGTGCAGCATGTATTATTTGATCGAAACACAGTTCAGTTTTTGTTAATAGTTTTCTTCTGTTTTGGATTAGTATACATGGAACGCCTAGAAAATTATTTTCAGACAATGGTGGTGGATTTTGTAATAAAGAGGTAAAGGATATGGCTGAAAATTTAAATATAGAGCTGAAGACTACACCCGGATATAGCCCATGGTCTAATGGTTTAATAGAAAGACATAATAAGATATTAACTGAAATTCTTCAAAAGGTTTGTGCTGATATTAAATGTACTTGGGAAATTGGTTTAGCTTGGGCTCTTATGGCAAAGAACTCTCTGATTTCAGTTCACGGTTTTAGTCCATATCAACTAGTTTTTGGCCAAGCTCCCAATTTACCTTCCATATTGGTTGATTCTTTACCAGCTTTGGAAGGTGTGACGAGAAGTGATCCTGTTGGGCAACACATTTCTGCCTTACATTCAGCAAGACAGGCGTTTACAGAAGCTGAATGTTCTGAAAAAATAAGACGTGCCTTGAGAAAACAAACTAGGTCATCCGGTGAACCAATAACTTATGGTGAAAAAGTTTATTATAAAAGACCTGATTCAACAGAGTGGAAAGGGCCAGCAACAGTAATTGGACAAGATGGAGTAGTTGTATTTGTAAAACATGGTAGTTCTTATGTTCGAGTTCATCAGTGTAGGCTAACGAAAACTTCAACGTCAACAAAATGAAATGAAATGAAATGGAGTTTAACGTCCTACTGTTCTGCTCCTAACCTGGGCTAATGAAGACGGGCATACGCCATACAGTGTGCTATGAGGGAAATTTTGCCCGGACAGCGGCACTACGACCTACTCTTATATCGAATTCCAACTGCCAAGGGATCTTTTACGTGCACGCTAATGTGTACACGGGTCCTCGGTTTTTCGTCCCATCCGAACGACTAGACAGCTTTCCTTGTCAGCCCCTCCGTCCTGCAACGTCAACAAACACCGGTACCAATGAAGTTAGTAATTCTTCAACTCAAAATAAACCTGATAAATGGTAATGGTAGTCTGGAGGTATTACCTAATTCTACTGTTAATCAAGATATGTCAACTACAGCTATTGGTGAGAATTTATCCTTTAAACCTGGTCAGATTATAACATTTAGTATAGACGATAATGAGTGTAAAGCTGAAGTGATAAGTCGTGCAGGCAAAGCAACAGGCAAACATAAAAACTGGTATAACATTAAATATTTAAGTCCAGTAAATGTAGATGGTAAAGAGATTTCTATTAACTTAGATACTGTTGATAACTTAAAATTACAGATAAATCATAGAGAAGATGATAAAGAAGAAAGTGATGACAGTCCTGAAATTGCAGAAAATGTTATGGTTAATGAAGATGTTGACTTTACCCGTGCTAAATTAGATGAATTAGAAAGTTGGAAAAGGAATGCTGTCTATGTTGAGATAAATGATAATGGCCAGAAATCTATTTCCACAAGATGGATATGTACTATGAAACAAAGAGTAGATGCCTAAGATGGAATCAAACCAAAAGCAAGGTTAATCATTAGAGGTTTTGAAGAAATTGATCATGAACTAATACCAAAAGATTCTCCTACTTGTTCAACTGAAGCTCTGAGAGTAATTCTGGCTATATTAGCACAAAAAAGATGGATTCCACACTCCATGGATATAAAGACGGCGTTCTTGCAGGGATCAGAATTGCCGAGAGATGTTTTGATAAAGCCTCCTATTGAAGCTAATTCTACTCCTGGTAAAATCTGGCAGTTAAAGAAATGTGTATATGGTTTGGGAGATGCGTCACTATACTGGTATAACAGAGTACGAGAAGTTATGATTGTAAATGGTGGTAAAATCTCGTCAGTTGATCCTGCGGTATTCTACTGGTATTATAATGGTCGGCTGGAAGGTATTCTTGCTAGTCATGTAGATGATTTTGTATGGGGTGGCTCAGTTGAATTTCAGAGTAAAGTTATAAATAAAATTAGGGATACTTTTATGATTGGTTCTGAAGAGGTTACGGCATTTAGATATTTAGGAACTGAAATTAAATTATATGATGGTTGTATTCTTCTAAGACAGGAGTATATTAATAATCTGAAACCAGCTAAAATTGATAAAACTCTAGACAGGTCAAGTAAATTAGATGATGAATATTTAAAGTTATATCGATCTAAAGTTGGTCAAATTTTATGGGTGGCAAGACAGAGTAGACCAGATATTATGTTTGATGTCTGTAAGTTTGCTGCTAATGTTAATAAATCTACAGTTCAAAATTTGTTTGAGATTAATAAATTAATAGGAAAGTTGAAATCTGAAGGTGTTTGTCTAAAGTTTCAAAATCTTGGAGAAGAAAATGATTTAGAATTGGTAGTGTTCAGTGATGTCTCTCTTGGTAATTTGCCTGATGGAGGAAGTCAAGGTGGGCATTTTATTATACTTAAGGGAAGAGATGGTAGTTTTTCTCCTTTATGTTGGCAGTCCCAGAAAATCTGTAGAGCTGTCCGGAGTACATTTGCAGCTGAAACTCTAGCTTTGACAGATGGTTTAGATAACGCTGTGTTCTTATCAACTTTATTTATTGAAATAACAAAAGGACATCATTCAATACAAGGATTGCCAATTACATGTGTAATAGATAATAAATCATTGTATGAAGCTATAAAATCTACAAAGTTTACTGTTGACAAAAGACTAAGACTTGAGATTAGTGTTATAAAAGAACTTATTGAACGTAAACAAATTAAGAATATTTATTGGTCGTCTTCAAAATTACAACTTGCATATTGTTTAACTAAAAAGGGTGCTTCTAGTTTCCAGTTGATAAAAAACATAAATAATGGCGTGTGGAAATTAGATAATTTAGAATAAACTTTCATATGTTGGATGTTGTGTAAATACCAAACTGTAAATGTGTTACTGTTTGAAGTTTATTGGTTAAAACTTTAATCTTAATTTATATATTGGTGATGGTGATACAAAAACTTTGTATATAAGTTTATTTGATGAGGGGAAGATTGTTGACATTTCATAATAAACTTCCGTTTCCGGTGGATGGAGTTACGCATGCGTGACGAGAGCTTCCGTTGCCAGGGACGCAAGCGGTCAGTGGTGTATAGATTCGATGAGGAATGTGGACGGTAATTGATGTGTAATAGATGAAACGTGATGTTCGATAGTTAGTATATTCAATAATAAACAGTCTGTATCGGAGACCACAGATGCACACCATTGCTGCTTTAGAAACTGCTCTTGTCCAAGAATGGAACAATTTGCCCCAGGCCTTCTTTCAAACATTGGTTAATTCCATGCGACGTCGCTGCACAGCATGCTTAAGATCCTGTGGAGGACACAAGGGGTACTGACGTCTGTGTCGTACTTTTGGTTTTGACCCCTCTGACTTTGTAGCGTTGATTACAGATTAAATATCCATAAGTGTACAAATGTGTTGTTATTGATGTGTTCCCATTTGAATATTGTTCACAATAAGAAGCAAAATAAATAAGATATGTTTACAGGATCATTTTGTTATACGAAAAACTAAGTGATGCGTTTTCCATGGTGCTCAGTATATTAATGTTGAAAGAAACTCTGTTGTTCCATACTTATAATGTCACATTTTTCTAATAAAAACAGGGTCATTGGTCCTGTGACAATTTCTTTATTAAAACATCAACGTAACTAACAATTCGTCAGTGAAGTGTCAAAAGGGTGTATGTAAGAATTTCTAAAGATTAAGAAATAGAACCTTTTGCATTTCAAAATTTCCACAAATCAAGATACATTTGGACACATGATACCCAGAACAGTTCTAATTGGCGTGGAGATATACAGCTTAGACAAAAATGTACATATTAATTGGGCGAGTTTAAAGTTACAATTTCATATTTTCTAAGAAAGTCAAAACATAATTATTTCTATGTCTTTTGCTCAATAGGTTGTCAACTCACTATTATACGTTCATTGGTGTCATTCTCACACTTAAAACTCATTTACACCTGAAATAATAACACAATTACCTCCCTTGTTTTCTATTCTCCACCATGGATTAGCTATCCTCAAACGTTTGAATTTGAAGTTGAGAATGATATTTTTGCCAATTTCTCAACTGGCAATAGTGAATTATAGGATTAATAGGATTATTCTTTAACAAGATAGGACTGTTTTGGCTTTATTTTAGTACATTTTATAAATATGAAATTGTAACTTTAAATATGCAAAAAAGGGTATTTGACTAATTTCCCAAGATGCACCCTTTTGACACTTCACCGAGAAATTGCTGTTGATGTTGATTAGCAGATTGTTTTTTTAAGCCCACATTGAAATGTGGTTGTATATTGCCTTGCCCTCGTCTGTCCGGATTGTGGACGCTCTAGGGGCTAAAGTTAATAGCCGATTGACTTTAAATTTATATACAGTGTTTAAGGCCATGAGACGAAGAAGCCTATTGATTTTCAGCGATTCAGTGTTTAAGGTCATGATCAGTCAAATGAAATAGCATAATGAACTAACTTGGCTTTGATATACTGAAAGTTAACTCACTCACCGTGTTGAAATCTATAACCAATTGTTTATAAAAAATTTGCCACAAAAGTAGTTACTAATATATGTTTCCTCTTACTTATATAAGATATTGTAAAATTTATGTGATTATTTATTATTTACAGGATCCAATTTATGTATTAGAGAATACTATACCTATAGATACACAGTATTACCTAGAAAACCAGTTAACTAAACCATTATTAAGAATATTTGAACCTATATTGGGTGAAAAGAAAGCTGAATCTGTCTTATTACGTAAGTCAAATACATTACACACTGAGAAATAGGTAAGGTGTGATCTGCATGTTTGCTGTATATAAATCTAGCTCTGATGGTTGATTTGTACGTTTATTGATAAAAAAAAGTAAAATTAGGATTATAACTCCTCATTATCGCATTAATTTACAAGGGTGAGAACTAGACTGAAAGGTGAGGGCACAGTACATTTTTATACGCCCACATTTTCATGTGGACGTATATTGTCGTCGCCCCTGTCCGTCCGTATGTCTGGACGTCTACAGGTCACAATTCTTATCCGATTTTAATGAAACTTGAAATGTTAGTTTATAACCCAAAGATCTCGGTTCCTTTCGATATTCGTGCATATCGGACCGTAACTTCCTGAATTATGGCCCCTGATCGTACGAAAAATCACGCTTTTAGCTTGTGGACCCTATAGAGGTCGTAATTTTTATCCGATTTAAAAAATCGTATTATTATATCACCGTTACACCCTAAGGATTGCTGAGTTAGAATTTCGTGAAAATCGGCCCAAAATTGTCAGACAAAATGGCCACCATTCGTTCTCAAATAGAGTAAAAACATGTGGCGTTTTTGTGAGTCGATTAGATTAGGTTTTGATTTGCTAGTACGATTTGGTATGATTTCGATTTGATTAGCTATGGTCCACAAATGTGAAATTTGATAATTACGATTTGGTAAGATGGCTGCCATCACGGACACCGATCAGAAAAAAAAATTGTCTCTGCTAATTATTGATGACTTGTTAAAGACAAATGAAGGTTATCTACGCAAAAAAGGAAAAATGGTTGCCGTTAGAAACAATCTCCTATGTCCAACAAGTTCAAGTATTTTTGGGAAAACTGAAGTGACAAAACATGTAAAAAGTGTCCTGAGAAAACCTAGGATCGAGGAATATATTGAAAAAACTGTAAATGAATAAAATTGCTTAGAGGTGATCTAACATTCTTGTGGACTATAAAGTTAACATTAAACCCGTCACATGCGTTTTAAAAAAAACACATTTTTTATGGAGAAAAACAACAATAAGCATTAAAAATTACTTACGACGTTGAACATCCGCCATTTTGAAAAAGTCAAATCTAATCGCCTAAACACCTCCTGGGACGATTAGGTCTATTTGCCTAATCAGTTGAGTTAAATCGTCTCACAAATGTAACGATTAGCATAATCAATTGGTTCACAAATGCGTATAATAGCTAATCGGTCAAATCTAATCGGTTCACAAAAACGCCTATGGTATATCAAAATTGTGGACCCTTTAGAGGTCACAATTTTTATCCGATTTTCTTGAAACTTGAAATGTAAGTTTATAACCCAAAGTTCTCGGATCCTTTTGATATTCGCAAATATCGGACCGTAACTACCTGAAAATCGGCCCAAAATTGACAGACAAAATGGCCGCCATTCGTTCTCAAATAGCGTAAAAACATGGTATATCAAGGTTGTGGATCCTATAGAGGTCACAATTTTTATCCGATTTTCTTGAAACTTGAAATGTAAGTTTATAACCCAAAGATCTCGGTTCCTTTCGATATTCGCAAATATCGGACCGTAACTTCCTGAATTATGGCCCCTGATTGTACGAAAAATTGCATTTTTAGCTTGTGGACCCTATAGAGGTCATAATTTTTATTCGATTTAAAAAACCGTATTATTATATCACCGTTACGCCCTAAGGACGGCTGAGTTCGAATTTCGTGTAAATCGGCCCAAAATTGACAGACAAAATGGCTGCAGTTCGTTCTCAAATAGCGTAAAAATATGGTATATCAAGGTTGTTACACCCTAAGGACGGCCGAGTTCGAATTTCGTGTAAATCGTCCCAAAATTGACAGACAAAATGGCTGCAGTTCGTTCTCAAATAGCGTAAAAATATGGTATATCAAGGTTCTGGACGCTATAGAGGTCACAATTTTTATCAGATTTTGTTGAAACTTGAAATGTAAGTTTATAACCCAAAGATCTCGGTTCCTTTTAATATTCGTGCATATTGGACCGTAACTTCCTGAATTATGTCCCTTGATTGTACGAAAAATCGCGTTTTTAGCTTGTAGACTCTATAGAGGTCATAATTTTTATTCGATTTAAAAAAACGTATTATTATATCACCGTTACACCCTAAGGACGGCTGAGTTCGAATTTCGTGTAAATCAGCCCAAAATTGACAGACAAAATGGCTGCAGTTCGTTCTCAAATAGCGTAAAAAAATATGGTATATCAAGGTTGTGGACCCTATAGAGGTCACAATTTTTATCCGATTTTGTTGAAACTTGAAATGTAAGTTTATAACACAAAGATCTTGGATCCTTTCGATATTTGCGCATATTGAATTGTAATTTCCTGAATTATGGCCCTTGATTGTAGGAAAAATCACTTTCTTTTTAGCTTGTTCGCTATCCATCTCTCGAAAATGTGGGCGTATCCTGCCTGGCAGCCGCTGGTCTGTACTGGCCGTGTTAATTAACAATATGGGTTAACAATGAATGACACTGTGTGTATTGCTTAATTGAGGTGTTTTCTCGATAGTTGTTATAACTGCACTAAAAGGGTTAAATCAGGGACCAGTAAGCTTTATCATGTAAACATGGGTTTATATGTGCTATAGTTATTGTCCCCCGCCTTGGTGTCTATAAGATGAATGCCTTGATGGAGTCCCCTGTCTGTCTCTGTCCGTCCGTCCAACACACTTTTTGGGACACAATAACTCTCTTTCTAATTGAGCTACAATGTTCAAACTTGGTGTAGGTGTTTATTAGGTCAATGCCTTGATGGAGTTCGAAGATGAGCATTTTTGACTTAGGGTAAGCCGAGATAAGCAATTTATTGGTTGATGCCTTGGGACACGATAAATTTAGTTCTAATTAAGTGAGAGTGATGAAACTTGGTGTATAGTTTCATTACATCAATACCTTTGATAATGAGCATTTTCTGCTCAGGGTAAGCAGAGCGATAAGCAATTTGATTGGTCGAGACTTTGGAACACAATAATTCTCATTCTAATTGAGTTAAAATGTTCACACTTGGCATAGGTGTCTATTAGATGAATGCCTTGATGGAGTTTGAAGATGAAAATTTTCGGCTTAGGGGAAGCAGAGATAAGCAATTTGATTGGTTGATACACATGAGACACAATAACTTTAGTTCTAATTAAGTAAGGGTGAGGACACTTGGTGTATACCTTGACTAAGTTGGATTATGAATATTTTCTGCTGAGGGTAAGCAGAGTGATAAGCAATTTGATTGGTTGAGACTTTGGAACACAATAACTTGCGTATATCGAACCGTAACTTCCTGAATTATGGCCCCTAATTTTACGAAAAATCATGTTTTTAGCTTGTGGACCCTATAGAGGTCATAATTTTTTCTGATTTAAAAAAAATGTTTTAGTATGTCACTGTTACACTTTGTGTAGGCGTTCATTAGGTGAATGCCTTGATAGTGTTCTATGATGAACATTGTCTGCTTGAGGTCAGCAGAAACTGAGCAATCTGATTGGTTGATGCTTTGACGCACGATAATGAAGTGAGAGCGATGGAACTCCAAATATAGATTCATTATATCATTACATTGTACTTTGACTAATTTCGATGGTGAGAATTTTCTGCTTAGGCTAATGAGTGATAAGCAATTTGATTGGTCGAGACTTTGGAACACAATAATTCTCATTCTAATTGAGTTAAAATGTTCACACTTGGCATAGGTGTCTATTAGATGAATGCCTTGATGGAGTTTGAAGATGAAAATTTTCGGCTTAGGGGAAGCAGAGATAAGCAATTTGATTGGTTGATACACATGAGACACAATAACTTTAGTTCTAATTAAGTAAGGGTGAGGACACTTGGTGTATACCTTGACTAAGTTGGATTATGAATATTTTCTGCTGAGGGTAAGCAGAGTGATAAGCAATTTGATTGGTTGAGACTTTGGAACACAATAACTTGCGTATATCGAACCGTAACTTCCTGAATTATGGCCCCTAATTTTACGAAAAATCATGTTTTTAGCTTGTGGACCCTATAGAGGTCATAATTTTTTCTGATTTAAAAAAAATGTTTTAGTATGTCACTGTTACACTTTGTGTAGGCGTTCATTAGGTGAATGCCTTGATAGTGTTCTATGATGAACATTGTCTGCTTGAGGTCAGCAGAAACTGAGCAATCTGATTGGTTGATGCTTTGACGCACGATAATGAAGTGAGAGCGATGGAACTCCAAATATAGATTCATTATATCATTACATTGTACTTTGACTAATTTCGATGGTGAGAATTTTCTGCTTAGGCTAATGAGTGATAAGCAATTTGATTGGTCAAGACTTTGGAACATAACAACTCTGCTTTTAATTGAGATAGAATGTTTAGACTTGATGTAGATGTTCATTAGTTCATTAGGTGAATGTCTTGACTGAGTTCAGTGACTAACATTTCGAGCTGAAGCTGAGCAGAGCTAATCAATTTCATTGGTCAATGCTTTGGGACAAGATAATCTTGATTCTATCTGATAGAGAGTGATGAAACTTAGTGTATAGTTTGTTTGCTTGATACTTTTGAAAAAAATATAAATGTGCGATTAATAAATGTGTGTCATCTATTTATTTTGGGATTTCAGCGGGGGATATCAGCCTGGGATATCAGCCTCACTGTTGGCTTGTTTGTGTTTGATACAACAAGGTATACGTGTACTGTTTATATTGCATACCGCCTGACGTGTATAAATGAACCTGACGAACACACTAAACTGAGTTTACCATATGTCTGTACATTCTACTCTTTTTGTTCTGAACATTTTATTGTTGCTTCTCGAAATTAGACGGGTTTCACCGGTGCCACGTTACCCTTGAACTTATGTCACTTCTGTTGCCGCATTATCTGTGAACTTATGTCACATCCGGTATCAATGAAACCGTTAAACAGATTTCCACATAAGCATTGCACAAATAGACGCAGAATCAACAATGTGTTACATATGTCAAAAATGTGATCCTGACAAAATTTGTTACTAACTTACCGATAAGTTAGCTAACTTTCTAATGGGAAATTGAATTGGGAAAAAAATCTATAAAAGTCATCCTGACAAAATTGTTTATTTTATGTCCATTGGAATCAAATATCAAAATTGTTAAACGAATAATAAATATAACTCAATGGATTATGGCCCCTGATTGTACGAAAAATCCCATTTTTATATGCTCATATTTTCATGTGGACGTATATTGTTGTCGCCCCTGTCCGTCCGTCCACAATTGTTTGTGGACACTCTACAGGTCACAATTTTTATCCGATTTCAACAAAACTTGAAATATAGGTTTATCTCCCTAAGATCTCGGTTCCTTTCGATATTGGCATGTATCGGATCGTAACTTCATGGATTATGGCCCCTGATTGTATGAAAAATCGTGCTTTTAGCTTGCGTATATCGAACCGTAACTTCCTGAATTATGGTCCCTAATTTAATGAAAAATCATGTTTTTAGCTTGTGGACCCTATAGAGGTCATAATTTTTATCTGATTTAAAAAAAATGTTTTAGTATGTCACTGTTACACCATAAGGAGGCTTGAGTTCAAATTTCTTGAAAATCGGACCAAAACTGACAGACAAAATGGCCTCCGTTTGTACGCAAATAGTGTAAAAAATATGGTATATCAAGGTTGTAGACCCTGTATAGATCACAATTTTAATCCGATTTTGATGAAACTTGACATGCATGTTTATAACCCAATCATCTTGGTTCCTATCAATATTTGCTCATATCGAATTGTAACTTCCTGAATTATGGCCCTTGATTGTACGAAAAATCATGATTTTAGCTTTTGGTCCTTTAAAAAAAAAAAACGTGTGAATATATCACCAATACACCCTAATGATGGTTGAGATCAAATTTCGTGAAAATCAGACCAAAATGGCCGCTCCTCGTACGCAAATAGTGTAAATATATGGTATATCAAGGTTGTGGACCCTCTAGAGGCAACAATTTATATATATATTATGATTTTGATGAAACTTTAAATTTATGTTTATATCACAAAGATCTTGGTTCCTATCGATAATCGCGCATATCCGAACGTAACTGCATGGACTATGAGCCCTGATTGTACGAAAAATCCCTTTTTATATGCTCACATTTTCATGTGGACGTATATTGTCGTCGCCCCTGTCCGTCCGTCCACAATTGTTTGTGGACACTCTACAGGTCACAATTTTTATCCGATTTCAACGAAACTTGAAATATAGGTTTATCTCCCTAAGATCTCGGTTCCTTTCGATATTGGCATGTATCGGATCGTAACTTCATGGATTATGGCCCCTGATTGTATGAAAAATCGTGCTTTTAGCTTGCGTATATCGGACCTTAACTTCCTGAATTATGGCCCCTGATTTTACGAAAAATCATGTTTTTAGCTTGTGGACCCTATAGAGGTCATAATTTTTATCTGATTTAAAAAAACGTTTTAGTATGTCACTGTTACACCATAAGGAGGCTTGAGTTCGAATTTCTTGAAAACCGGACCAAAACTGACGGACGAAATGGCCTCCGCTTGTACGCAAATAGTGTAAAAAATATGGTATGTCAAGGTTGTAGACCCTGTATAGATCACAATTTTAATCCGATTTTGCTGAAACTTGACATGCATGTTTATAACCCAATCATCTTGGTTCCTTTCGATATTTGCGCATATTGAATTGTAACTTCCTGAATTATGGCCCTTGATTGTACGAAAAATCATGTTTTTAGCTTTTGGTCCTTCTAAAGGTCACAATTTTTATCCGATTTAAAAAAAAAAATGTGTGAATATATCACCTTTACACCCTAATGAGGGTTGAGATCAAATTTCATGACAATCAGACCAAAACTGCCAGACAAAATGGCCGATCCTCCTATGCAAATAGTGTAAATATATGGTATATTAAGGTTGTGTACCCTCTAGAGGCCACAATTTATATATGATTTTGATGAAACTTTAAATTTATGTTTATATGACAAAGATCTTGGTTCCTATCGATAATCGCGCATATCCGAACGTAACTGCCTGGATTATGGCCCCTGATTGTTCTAAAAATCACATTTTGAGCTTGGGTTCCGCTAGAAGTCAATATTTGTATTCAATTTTAAAAAAGGTTTAAATATAACACCGTTGAGTTCGAATTTCGTAAAAATCTATGCAATAGGAAGGATGTGTGGACCCTCTAGAGGTCACAATTTTTATCCATTTTAATGAAATTTAAAATAGATGTTTATGTCCCTTCCCATATTTGTGCACTTCAGACCATAACTATCTGGATTATGGCCCCTTATTGTAAGCAAAATTGCTTTTGATTTAATTTATTCTCTATCCATCTCTTGGAAAAAGTGGGCGTATCCTGTCTGGCAGCCGCTGGTTTGTGTACCCCATGCTGAATTCACAGTACCCTACCATGAATAAAAAACATGAAATATGAATTTACTTTGCAAAGTTTTCGTGCTTTATCAAAAATGACCGGTAGTGAAAATTTTGATGTGGAAGCCCTGGTATATAAGGTCTTCATTTTCCGAATCAGTGCATAACAGTATAATATTAAACCCCATTTCATTTCGTATTTGTTTCAGATGGTGATCACACAAGAACTAAGACTGTTTTAACATCTAAATTAGGTGGTTTAGCAGGTTTTACCAAAAAACGAAGTACATGTCTTGGATGTAAAACTCCTGTAGAGAAAGAAAGTAAGAGAAAATCTCTTCATTAGTTTTTATACGCCCACATTGAAATGTGGTCCTATATTGTCCGACGTCCACAATTGCTAGGGGCTAAAGTTAATATCCAATTGACTTTAAATTAATACACAGTGTTTATGGTCATGAGACGAAGAAGCCTATTGATTTTCAGCAATTTCTGATTATTATTGCCAGAGTTGTGGCCCTTGATCACTTTGAAAAATCTGGTGACGCTCTGGAGGCTAAAGTTCTTATCCGATTGATTTCAGATTGATACACAGTGTTTAAGGTCTTGAGACGAACAAGTATATTGATTTTCAGTGAATTTGTATGACTTGAACAGCTAAATCCATGATGTTAAAAGTTTTGTATACTAAATGTTAGCATGGGGCAGAACTTCATAAAAAACAAACAAATTTTAATGAATTTCTTGCGTTAAAAGAAACTTGTCTGTATACGGCATGCATTGAAATGTGGTCGTATGTTGCCGTCGCCTCTGTTTGGCTAGAGGCTAAAGTTAATATAAGATCGACTTTAAATTTATATACAGTGTTTACGGTCATGAGAAAAAGACGCCTATTGCTTTTCAATGATTTCGATAATTACTGCCAGAGTTATGACCCTTGAAAACTTGAGAAATCTTGTGGGCGTGCAAGAGGCTAAAGTTAATATAAATTTATACACAGTGTTTAAGGTTACACTGAGAACTACTAAGGGGTGAATCTGTACATGGCCCTTATTGAAAACTACGTCTGTGGCGTTATCTGTACATCTATCGAAAGAAAATTAATTTCCCGATTATTACTCGGCATTACCGTCTTAAAATTGTAAACAAGGATAAGAAACTATCTGAGAGGTGAGTTAATTAACACTAGGGGTGAAAAAGCCTGTGACGGTGCGTTTTCTGAAGAGATGTGTTAATTAACCGACCGGTAAAAAAATGAATGTCGTACGGAAAGGCGAATGTAATGTCGTCATTTATAAATACCCAGCACTCAGCGCCCACGGGAATCTAGAAAGTAAATCCAGCAAAAACTATTTTCTACAACCAAAATATATTACTGCTTTATTACTAAAAAGACGCACACTGACCGTTTCACATTTATTAGAATTATAAAAACGTACCCTGATGGGTAAATTGTGTGTCTTACCTTCAGTAACAATATCCATAAAACAGAAATTTCCATATTGATAAATAATATGACACAACCAACCGAACAGTGGTAATTTCCACACAAATGAGATATTTAAATTAGAATTACTTTACCTTTTCACGAAATTTATATCGCATACATTCCAACGATCCTCATTCCAAAACTTTTGATTAATAATAGTCGTTTTTATGCCATTACAGAATTGTCCCATGATATAACAAATCAAAGAAGCGCATACGCCCGAATTGACACAAAATCATTTTTATACGCCACATGGAAATGTGGTCTTATATTGCCGTCCATCTGTCGTCCACAATTCCTTGAATTGAATGTAAATCAATTTACATACATTCATATTACATTATTGTATGCGTTGCAACCCATTTGTCAAAATTTCTAGGTCCCAAATATTAACGACTTAGCTCCTTTAAATTAGTAAAACGAACAAGCCTATTGAGTTTCAGCAAATTTCCGTTAATTACATCTCATGTTATAGCCCTTGTTTAACTTTGTTGAGTCTTGTGAACGCTTGAACAGCAAAAGTTGTCACGTAATCTGTATAAAATTCATATGCATCATTTAAAATAGTGAAATAAAGAAGCCTATTGAATGTCAGCAATTTCCGTCAATTACTTCAGAGTTATGGCCCTTCTTTTACTTTGGTGAACATTCGAACGACAAAAGTTATCATCCGATCTGTATGAAATATATATGCATTATTTGAATTAGTAAAACGAAAAAGCCTGTTGAATTTCAACAATTTCTGTAGATTACTTTCAGAGTTACAGCCCTTATTTTAGTGAACGACGAAAATTATAATGTCATCTGTATGAAATTGTCTATTAAATTCCCCTAATTACCTGCAAAAGAATAAATATGTGACAACCCTTGTCGACTGCTCGGACAATTTAGCTGCTGTGAGCGTATGCTTTGTTGTGCCTAGCAACCTATCTTTTGAGGCTTGTCTTCTATTCTTACAACTATACCTGGCGATCATACTGCATACCATATTATATATAGTCACACTTCTTACAGAAAAGTGTGCATTTAATAAAATCAAAATATTGATCTTAATCTATGGCACAAAATGCAATGTCGCCATTTGTAAATATTGCACAGGTAGGCCCCAATTTGAATATCCCCAGGTATAAAACAAACAAGCCAGATTTGCTCATGTAAATATACTGATTTTCGTAAATACATGTATACTTAATCTCGTCTTCGATAAGTTCTTATTTATGTCTTCAAATTTGTACCATATAACCGGATTCCTGATCCAAAAGAAACTAGACCTGCATGGCAGTGCTGAATCGCTGGGCTATCAAACGATACTTTTGATCTGGTAATATCCAATGGAGAAATCATGTTTTTTGGCAAAAATCTTCATTTTTTTGCATTTTTATACGCCCACATTGAAATGTGGTCGTATATTGTCGTCACCCCCGTCCGTCCGTCCGTCAGTCCGGCGTCCACAATTGCTTGTGGACGCTCTAGAGGCTAAAGTTAATATCCGATTTACATACAGTGTTTAAGGCCATGAGACGAAGAAGCCTGATGATTTTCAGCGATTTCTGATAATTACTGCCAGAGTTATGGCCCTTGATCACTTCAAAAAATCTTGTGGACGCTCTAGAGGCTAAAGTTAATATCCGATTGACTTTAAATTTATACACAGTGTTTAAGGTCATGAGGCAAAGAAGCCTATTGATTTTCAGCGATTTCCGATAATTACTGCCAGAGTTATGGCCCTTGATCACTTCAAAACATCTTGTGGACGCTCTGGAGGCCAAAGTTAATATCTGATTGACTTTAAATTTATACACAGTGTTTAAGGTCATGAGGCGAAGAAGCCTATTCATTTTCAGCGATTTTCGATAATTACTGCCAGAGTTATGGTCCTTGATCACTTTGAAAAATCTTGTGGATGCTCTAGAGGCTAAAGTTAATATCCGATTGACTTTAAATTTATACAGTGTTTAAGGTCATGAGACGACGAAGCCTATCGATTTTCAGCGATTTCCGATAATTACTGCCAGAGTTATGGCCCTTGATCACTTCAAAAAATCTTGTGGACGCTCTAGAGGCCAAAGTTAATATCCGATTGACTTTAAATTTATACACAGTGTTTAAGGTCATGAGACGAAGAATTCTATTCATTTTCAGCGATTTTCGATAATTACTGCCAGAGTTATGGTCCTTGATCACTTAAAAAAATCTTGTGGATGCTCTAGAGGCTGAAGTTGATATTTAATTGACTTTAAATTTATACACAATGTTTGAGGTCATGAGACGAAGAATCCTATTGATTTTCAAAGATTTCCAATTAATTACTGCCAAAGTTATGGCCCTTGATCACTTTGAAAAAGTTTTAGTGTATTATAAATGTTTCATTACCGAAAAAAGTAAAACTGCCCGGACGATTTAGCTGTTGTGGGCGTATGTTTCGTTGCCTGGCAACCTATCTTTTCTCAAAATATCAGATATTTTTGCGACTACTTCCGGTTTTTGGATCATTGTCGGGATAGCTTTAACAAGTTGTATAGATACTTAACTTCCTGTGCCAGAAGTGTCAGAAACATCCATTTAGTAGTTTTCGAAAAAAAAGATAAATAAAAGAGCATTTTCAATAATTTCACTATTTTTCAACTTTTTTCAAAGATTGAGGCCATTTTTGGACCACCTATATTATTTCAATGCTTTTATTTTTGGATTCACACCCTAGACCACCGATAGGACTCTGGTTAAGAAAAGTTTAAGAAAAATCGTCGGCGTCATTTTCGAGAAAAAGGCGTCTCAGAATGCACCAAAACGGAAAATACTAGATCTTCCGCGTACCATAATTTATTTCCTGACGAGTGATAACAGATACACGGCCGAATTTCTGCTCACTAATAATTCTTTCCAAGACCACAAGTTGTTATATGGGACTGTAAGAGGATACCTGACAATTCAATAAAATAATTGAATGTCATTAGATAAGAGAACACGAGAAAAATAGAAATAGTCCGTACTTTCCCTTGTTTAAATTCATTCTATACCTTATAAAAACATGGTAATGCACGGACTTTTTCTGTTTTTCTTTCGTGTTCACTTATCTAGTGGCAGTCAATTCTTTTTATGAATTGTCAGATATCCTCTCACAGTCTCACACAACAACTTTTGGTCTTCCGAAGGTTTATTAGTGAGCAGAAATTCACCCGTATATCTGTTATCACTCGTCACTTCAGTCAGTTATATAGAGAGATGGCTCGTGTTTTCCTTTGGCGTTCATCACTTCCTATTCAGGAAACCTGTATTACTCGGCTATCGTAGCAATGATCTCTGTTTTAAAATTATATTTGGAATGTGTTGAACCAGCTCTATCACATATGTGATAATGACTGGCACCAATATTGTCCTTTAATTGTTTTGGTCCGCTAATATCTGATGGAGAATTCAAGTTTTTAACAAGAGTGCCTTTTTTTTTTCTTTTTTTTTACCTTTTTTTTTTTTTTAAAACTACTTCCGGTGTACGAATCATTGTCAGGTAGTTTTAACATCCGGTTTTGGAACTTGAATGGGCACAGGGCTTTATAATGATATAATAAATTAACCGATCAGATAAAATCCCCCCGAGAAATCCTATGTTCAGAAGTGCCAAAAATGTCAAAATATAGAAAATTAAATTTCAATAACTGACTACATATTATACATGGTTAGAATCGCTATTAGGTCATTTTTTTCAATTTATAACATTTTTTGAAAATCTGTTAAAATAAACAAATAATAGAGCATTTTCCAAAATTTTTCGACTTTTTTCAATTTTCAGTCCCTTTTTTTATCCTATTCCAGACGTTTAAAATTCTTTTTCCATGT